TGAACCATGTAAATGAAGTGTAGAAGTTCCAATAATACCATTTCCAAGATCAATATATGCAATTAAATTTTTATCAATAAGACGATAATTATCTGAAATCCAACGACGTACTAAATATAAAAAAAAGACAAAAAAAAAATAATCTTATTAAAATTTTCATTTTCTTCTCTCACTTGTATAATGATCATAGGATAAACCTGACCAAGCACTAAATATAATTGAACGTCTAAAAGAAATAAATTTTACATGTATGATTGTTTAATTAGATTAAAAATAAATAATAGCTAGTTCAGTCTACATTAAGATTATAAAGAACAAACTTGATCGATTTGGTTTACAAAAATGTTCTTCATGATTACTAAAGTTTCTCATTCTGTTTCATTCTCGATCAAGTTTATACTTAAAATCTGGTTTTCAATGCTTTTTCAGAGCAAACATTTATAGATTTGATTGCCTATTGTATTACGAATTTCATCGAGCAAGTAATTAAATATAGATGTCTTGGCCATAATGACTCATATGTCTATCATATACAGATGATATCATACCACATGTATACGAATTTAGTCATGCCCACAGATGTATCTTTCCAAATAAATTACCTACACTCTTTTGTTTATCGGGATATTAATTTAACATGTGTTTTTTTTAGACAGGTGTATTTATATATTGATTTAAGAAAAAAACAGTATTGTTATTTATAAATGATATCGAGGACACAGACAATGGTCTTATTTTCAATATTATTTCTAATTAAAATAAAATAAAATCAATAGAAATCGAAGTAACTAACACGACACCATTGATCGATCTACTAACATATGAGTTATCTGTATTTTAGACAAACTCTTGGTTAAGTTATTCTTATAATTTGATTATATAACACATTCAATAGTATTCCATTTCAAGAAAATTTTACTAAAAGTCAACAGAATTTTAGAATTTGAGCGAATAACTACACGATTTGGTTTGTTCAGCATTGATATGTGAGAAAATAATCATCTGAATCGTGCCTTGAACTGTAGATTTAAAGTACCTTTATCTAAAGCATATGTCAAAATAAAAATTACATCGAAACAGATCATAGGGTTTTTATGTATTTTTTACAATGTTTCGCGAAGATAATAAGTTCTAAAATAATTTTATTTTATATAGTATCAGATTAAAAGGCGTTCTAAGTTATCCTCTTTCAATTGCTAAGAACCACAGGTCGCTAGCTGCTGTCGTTGTCGAGTTATTAAGCTTATACATACTTCTCTTTAATTATGACGGGGACATTAGTACTGGTACCAGTCCTCGAAATAGGTCGTTCCTATCAAAGAGACTTTCCCTCGGGTCATGTGTTCCAAACTTGATTCCCTTTTTTTTTCAAGGAAAATTTCCCACGTAAGAAAACAGAGGGAAAAAATCTAATTTTAATCGATTTTTTCTAACAAATAATCGATTAAAATGGCATTAGTTGACTAAGATAGAAGTGTCAGTTTTCACGTCTAAAAATAGATTTTGTTTAATTTTAATCTTTTTAATCGATCAAAAAAGACTAAAACCAATTCAATCTGCGTTAAATAACGCCATTTTAACTAATCTCGTCTTGATTTTTCATCAAAAATTTGTATGCACTAGGCAACTGATAATAATCCGAAATCTCTGTTATGCGAACGTTTTGGAAGTTTAATTTGACAATAAATAAAAGCAGAATATCTATTCGGTAGAATGACATTCTTTATGTACACACACAACCAAATGCACTATTAACTGTGAAATTAAAAACAGTAACCGATGTGTCTGT